GCGCCGTGGCTCAGGGGATCAATGTGATCCCGCCGTGGCGTGGGGTTTTTTTGGTGCGGCTTTCAGAAGCCGCGCTTCAGCCCGACCCTTTCCACCCCGTGTGGCAGGGGCCTAAATAATCCACTTTCAATCCACCTTCAGTGCAGTTCCCAACTGGATTTTAACTGTGTGAACTGGCAAAATACAGTTGGAAAGTGGATTGAAAGTGAATTGAAAGTGGATTATTTAGTGTGTGTGACCGCAGCCTAAGACTGATTCCCTTTTCACATAAACCAGGGGTCCCTTCTGAGTTGAACCCACTCATTAACTGGATAAGAAATATCTCCTCTTTCTAGGAGCAATAATCATTTTCTGTCTGGATAGACTGGCAATTTCAACCTACCGTTCAGTCTCTTCTGTCAAACCTAAACCCCAGTTCTGGAGACTATGAATAAACAGAATTCAGCTAGGGCTGACACTTAGACTTTAAATTCTGATTTCTGAACTTTTCCTTAAATGCAAAGGTACACAGTAAGGGCAAGGAGTTGTGTCCTTTCACTTCCCAAGTGAACTTGTCTGTTTCCCTCAGACCAGCACACACCCTCCTCCTGACTGGCTATTGCCAAGCCAAAGTCCAAATGAGGACTGATTCCCTCTGACAAGACTGACAAGACTTTTGAAGGCTCTCCTCAACTGGCGCTGACCAATCAGAGAGGGTGGGGTGCAGGAAGGCAGTAGTCTGTCAATCAAACTGTACCTTACAATGAGGCATTAACCCCTAATGTCCCAGCTGTCTGCTTTTGATGCACCAAGTGTCCTGGTTTTGGAGGTCAGTTCGTCACAGCATGTATAGAGTTTGTATTGACAGCAAAATCACTTGATATATGCTGCTTGAAAATTTAGCTCGTTGGATTAACAACAGCACATCCCTAATTTTTCTGTGTTGCAAAGAACTGGCTTTCAAGATTTCATTATCTTTACTATCAAAAACATTTGGTATCAATAATTTAAGCTGTGCTTAAAGAACCAAAATACATTATACAAGATCCAGTTTAATTTTCATGAAATTTTGTATGCTTGTAGATATTGCTATGTACAGTGGCAGTCCCTTTGGACCTTATTATTCTTATTAATCATTTATATAGGCCCATAAATGTACAAAGCACAGTGCCATGTATTTTATAGCTCTTATATTCATTTTTATTATTTTAGTCATTCACAATATGTTTCTTTTTATTAATGAAAGGCAATGTGTGATCCCTGGGATAGTGAGAATTAAGTAATAAATTCCCTCAAAATGTAGAAATAATGGATACTTCATGAGTAGTGAGTTCAAATATATTCTGAATGAGGCTGCACATAAATTACATTTTTGTAAAGTCATTTGTGAACTATCCTTCCGTTTGTAATAGTGTGTGGGTGGGAGATTTCATCATGCAAAATTGAACCTCGTTGTGTTATGTCATTTCTGCCCAGTGTTACACCTCCTCACACTTCACTGGATATTGAAGCTCACTGGGACAGATCCAGGCCTTGTGGACAAGAATTGCATGACCCCTGTGTCATGAGCAGACAAGTCTTTCTTGGAGGAAAATATTTTTGAGGGGCAAAGTCATGGTGGCTGGATGGTGACCAGTAGAACTTGGGATTGTTTATAAGCCATTCAGGTCGAAGTCATGGTGTAGTTAGCTTCACATAAGACATTTTTGTTACATAGGTGTATGAGAATGTAAGAAAATCATTATGGGTGCTACCAACTGCAGACAGGTGGATGGTCTTCAGGCAGGGTTAAGCTACTGGTTTTAACTAGGCCTGCTAAGTACTCAGTTGATTATCTGGTGTAAACAAATCTGCATACTACCAAAACCTTCAGTAGAGATCCCATTTGGGGAAAGTGACAAAAGTGAGATAGCCAGTTTAAAAACCAGATTTACTACTTGATGTTTAAGAGAGGCCATTTTCTTCTTCATTCTCTGTTTGAGCAACTCACCAGAATCAAAATATCTTCAAAAATAAACAACAGATTTTCAGTCCCACTGATTAAAATTGGCTCCAACTGATTAATCAGCTAAAACTTCAGTTGATTACCAATTAAAACTTGCAACTCTACTTTTAAGTAGTATACAGCTTTGAGCATGTTAGGTGCTATAAAAGGAAATGTATGGGGATAAATGAACCACAAGACAGATTTATTTTGATATGTGCACCTGTATTGATGCCAGCTGTCAATTCCTAGGAAGCATTCATATGGTAACACAGATGCATGTGTAAAGTTCACATGTGATAGCATACTTAGGGTTTTTCCTCCTACACTCTGTAGCCACTGGTGCACTTTTTAATACTTTTCTTCCCATTCTCCAACCCAAGAGAAATTAAGGGTAAGGTTTTGCAGACAAAATTCCCTTTGCAAGAGATGACCTTGGAGAACCTTTGAGTTCTTTGAATACATTTATTTTAAAATTTTCCCACTAGAAAGGAATCATTGGGATACAGAACTATAGAGTCCTGGTTTGAAAGCAATAACCACCCCTGCCTTGAGATCCCAGCAACCATGAACTCTTCATGCCAAGTCTAGGACTGTGCCAACGGTTTTCTTGTTTTTGATTTCCTCTTGTTTACTGGCAGTTCGTTTCTTGGCTGACACTTAGGTGCCAATTTTTCTTCTCTTTCAAGGGTTCATGTAGTGGCTATGATAATGTCAGCAGATTATGTAGCCATTCGTATTTGACTATGTGATGATATCACAGTGCTAACTCAAAATGTAGACAGTGCTTCCTTCCTAGATCGGTATTACCATAACTGTTTGAATGGTCAAACAGTTGTATCTCCTTTGACAACTCCTCCCCCAATCTCTGGAGGGGGGGTGCTTTTGGCATCTCAAGAAAGTTTTCATAGAAAGCGTTCTAATGTTTCCTAATATATCAAGACATAACCAAAAATGGTGTTAGCAGTTTGCTTTCTCAAGAATCTGTCTTTGTCTCTCTTTTTCTCTCAGTACATATATTCTAAAAGAAAACTGTATAAATAATAAATAACTTATTTCTGCTTCACTTGCTATCAATTTGGGCTTTTTAGCAATGAGTACACTGAGAAGAAGGTTGAACTCATTCCTTGTTCAGCTTGATAAAGGGCTGAGAGTTCTCTTTTAAATGTATTTGGAGACTCAAAAAGCCCCCCCTTACCTGCCCACAGAACACAGGTATGAGGTTGCTACAAAAACCACACCTGAGCTGAATTCATAAATAATAAATGTATTTTCTTATTAATCTATATTTTAGTTTAACTTGAGCTCATAGCAAGTTACTTCCTCAGGGAATGCAGAATTTTTTACAAGGGAAGGTGATGAGCCACAGCACCCCCCCCCCCCCCCGGTTTCGTACATGCTAATATAGATCTGCTATTCCCTTTCCACATCTATTGCAAGACGTTTTAAATTGTGGCTGATCTTTTATGCAAATAGCTGTCTTATTAGACATTGTGGCTGTATGTGCTAATGTCTCTGTGGGTTTCTTGGGCTCTTGCTATCTAACCATCAAAGCCGTTGAAGTGAATGATGATTACGGCAACAGCTTTGAAGAACAAAGAAAAGTCACAGCAATTTTAGAGGTCCTGGTTGCCGCAAAATATGTGACAGCTTGAACCACACAGACATCCAGGAGGGTCTCTGTGGCTTGTATTAACTAGGCCAAACTTGGGGGGGGGGAGTGATCCCCCCCCCGCTCTTTTATGATTTGTCGGCGGCTACCCATTGTGCAAGCCTTTTTATATTGCTGACATTTTGTTGCAAAACGTTACAAGGCTATTGAAATTGCAAAAGGCAAATAAAAGAAATAGTTTACCCAATAAAATAAACAGTAAGCCATGAAATGGATGTCGGACATAAAAAGTTTACATCATCTGCTCTGCTAGGTTAAATAGTAACTTCAAATATTGTTCCTGTGGCCCTGGCATAAACACTGCATGAAAGAACAGCTTCCTTTTCTCTTGTCTGAAATATGATGAAATTAAAGATGGGACAGACAAGGATTATAAAGACAGCTAGTATTGTTCTCGTTGCATTACTTTTATGAGTAGGCTCTTATCTGTGGTCCAAAGCTGTATAGCTTGTATAACAATGTGATGGTCGTGAGTTCCCAAAAAAGAATCCTAGGAACTGGATTAAGATCCTAACAGTTGTCTGCTAGAGATTCCTAGTCCTCAGGACCTCACAGAATATTTCCCAGGCTCTCTGGAGAAGAGATGATTTTTAAACCAGTTTCCACCTGTAGTGTGAATAGGTGTTTGGTGTGTATGTTTGCCAAGTTAAAGAATTAATGTAAGAGTTTATAGCTGCCACAGAATCCGTACAGCATGCAGATAATGAAGCATTTTTACTTGGGAACAATTTTAGTACTTTTGCAAATGGTGAGATACATATTTAGTTTGGGTCTGTCACATCTGACTTTGAACGGCACATAGAATACTTTGGTCAGTATCAGTGCAGAAACATTTTCATCTTGGACTCCTGTAGGGTCCTAAGGTATGCCTAGAGCTCTTCCCCTGTGAGTACTCACCACTGGTGGCAAGCCTGGCAGAATTCTGAAGCAAAAGGATATTGTAGAAATGTCAGTTTTGTTTAGTTTCTGGAGTACAAGGCACCCAAATGGGAAAGCACTCATAGCTTGATACCCTTAATTCAGGGGAGTGGAAAACGACAAGGAAGAAAGGTTCCAACAAAGGACTATACACATATCATAGAAAAGATTAATCAAACCTATAATATGTGAAATTGAGGTAATTTACTTGTAGCTTTGCAAAGTACCAAAAAGAAGTCAGATCTATTGTGCTACATAAAATCTCAGACATAGGCTAAGGATATGCATCCAGAAATTAACTAATTTAAATCTGAACAAAATACTGTCTTTTTTTTTGTTAAAATATCTTTAATGTAAGTAATGTGTCGTAATAAGAATGACATTTGGTAATCTTTGAAAAAATTGGATATTGAGAGTTATTCTGGTACATTGCTGTCTTTTTCACAGTTTCATTCATCAAAGGCAGCAGAAGTGGCAGGCCAGTGTCCTTCAGCAGATAATCTAAGTCACCAGGGCAACTTCCAAACCAGAATAATCAGCAGGTGCTAATTGTGGGCCTGATTTGGCTGAAAAGTAGGTTAAAAATCTTGTACAAGTAAATAAATGCGTATACTTTATTGTGGCATTCTTCTCTGTAATTTATTACTTGTTAGAGCAATTTTATCTTTCTTTCAGAGACCACGGCAAAATGGGAAGAAAAGATGCTTCTGCTGCAAGAACTCCTGTTGATCAGTACAGAAAGCAGATAGGTAAAAATGTACTTTGAATATGCCACTCTCCCCTAGTATCTCTCCCCGCCCCCAGTTACTATGATTGTGATATATATTCCTATAGAAATATAGTGTGACTAAACCAGACTATTCACTGTCTTTTGACAGTGTTGACAGTGTTCTGAATTCTCTCTCTCTCCATTGGTAATCCCCTCTAGTGTACTGGGGAATCAGCTAAAATGTGATTTGAAGCTCTGCTGCACAATGTGGTTAGTTCACTTACAACTAGGGTAGCTGCATTTAACACATCTCAATTAAATTAAGCTCTGGTAAGAGTAGATCACAGCTGAACATCAAGAAGACAAACGTAATGACTACAGCCTTTAAGAGTGACAATGGTGAAATAGAAATTGTTGAAGATTTTCTATTCTTTGGCTCCATCATCGACCAAAAAGGAGACTGCAACCAAACAACCAGAAGGAGATTGAGACTGGGAAGGGTAGTCATGAAGGAGCTAGAAAAGATCCGCCTGGGGGAGGAAGTGTTGCTGGCAACCCAGATGAAGATAATTCATACCATAGTATTCCCCAGGGGTCATTTCATAGAAAAAGAGGTGCAGGAGCTCATTAGCATAATTCATTAGCATAACCTATTTGCATATGCATATCGGCCTTTTATCATCTGCGGCTGATATGGCAGTTGGTTCCTTTCCTTGACCGCAATGACCTAGTTACAGTGATCTATGCGACGGTCACCTCGAGGCTAGACTACTGTAACGCTCTCTACATGGGGCTGCCTTTGTCGCTAATCCGGAATCTACAGCTGGTGCAGAATGCTGCGGCCAGGTTGTTGGTGGGTGTCCCGAGTTGGGAGCACATCCGACCTGTGCTGAAAGCGCTGCACTGGCTGCCAATAGCATACCGGATTCGCTTCAAAGTGCTGGTGCTTACCTTTAAAGCCCTACATGGCCAGGGTCCGACTTACCTGTTAGGACCACATTTCCCCATATATTCCCCAAAGAGCACTTCGGTCGGGGTCACAGCACTGGCTGGTGACCCCGGGCCCTAAGGAGGCCAAGCTGGCAGCAACGAGGGCCAGGTCTTTTTCAGTGGCGGCTCCTACCTGGTGGAATGAGCTCCCGGAAGAGATCAGGCCCCTGCGGGACCTTTTACAGTTCCGCAGGGCCTGCAAGACGGAGCTCTTCTACCAGGCCTATGAGTAGGAGCCGCCACGGCCACTTGTACCACCGCCCTTTACAGAGAGAGAGACCGTTAGGGTGGCCGAGCAACATCTTTTCAGTACCTAGCCTTCCCCCCCCCCCGCTACGCAATAAGTGAGGAGTTCTTAGGTGCATCCATTGTATCGATTTTAATCTGTTTTAACTTTCAATTTGTATTATATATTTTGTATGTTGATTGCACTTAGTGCCTTGTGTGAGCTGCCCTGAGCCCGTTCGCGGGGAGGGCGGGGTATAAATATAATAAATAAATAAATAAATATGCCACACCCCCTGATCTAAGAGATCTCTTAGATCCAAGCCCTGTCAGCAACAGGGCACAGAGGCCCAGGTCTTCTCGCCATGTTGCGTTCTGGCTCTGGGATTTAGAGGTTTAGAGCCTCTGAATGTGGAGGTTCCCCTCACTCACCCTGGCTAGGATTGACTGAGAGACCTATCCTCCTTGAATTGATCTAATCCCCTTTTAAAGTTGTTTATTATGGCCAATAGAATAGAATGGCGAGATCGCACCGCTGCTGTGGCACAACTCCAGAGAGAAGGGGTTTAAACTTTAAATCCCTCTCTCTTCGCTCCCCTCCCCCGCCCGCCTTCGCAGGCCGGCTGGGGAAGGGGAGGCTTTTGAAGACCCCCCCCTTTTGCTTCTCCAGCTGGCCTGCCAAGGCAGGCTGGGGGGGAGGGGGAAGCGAAGACAGAAGGACTTTAAACCCCTTCTCTCTGGAGTCGTGCTGCAGAAGCGGCGCAATCTCGCCATTCTATTCGATTGGCCATAGAATAGAATGGGGAGATCGTGCCGCCTCTGCAGTGGCGTGACTCTAGACTGAAGGAGCTTGGGGGCGGGGCTTGCCACCACTGGGGCTGCCGGAGCGGCGCTCCAGTGCTCTCTTGCCCCAAACAATCTCTGGTATTCCCCATTACTATGTAGGGGTGTGAACGTTGCACAATGAAGAAAGCAGATAGGAAGAAAGTTGATTTCTTTGAAATGTGGTGTTGGAGGAGAGTTTTACACATACAGTGGACCACCACAAAGACAAATAAGTGGGTTCTAGATCAAATCAAGCCTGAACTCTTCCTAGAAGCTTAAATGACTAAACTGAGGCTATTGTACTTGTGTCCATTATAAGAAAACAAGAGTCACCCCTGTAGCTAGACGATTTGTGGGGGGCACTGGATGGAGAGGGGGACACTGGATGGAGGAAGGGTGGGGAGCAAGCACACAAATTGTGGAGGAAGGGTGTGTGTGGGGAGGGGTTCCTATCCCCCCTCCTCCCAATCCACCTGAAAGAGCATCTCCTGAGGCTTCCTTTTCTCCCGCTCCACCCAGGGGTTCCTCAGGTGCATCGGCTTGCAGCCTGCTTTGGGAAACCATCACCGGTTCCCAGGAGAGTTTGTGCGAAGGGCTGGCCGACTTTCTGACTTTCTTGCCGGTGCTTCTGCCAGCCTGCCTGGCTCCTCTGTGGTGCATGGTTGCTGCTGCCACCACATTGGGAAGCCTTTGGACCCCGTCGGGGTGCTGCGATTGTGCTTTCCTGGGCTTTGGCAAGAAAGGAAGCAATTGCAGGATTTCTGGAGAGACACAGCATTTCCAGCCTCACTGCCCAGGCCCCCCCCCCCTGTCAGGGCTGCAGTGAGGCCCGGGAACCACGCATGAGGCCACTCCAGCCCTTCCCATTGCAGCACATCAACCACAAGCCAGGCGGAGAGCCCAGGGAGCATGAGGTGGGCTCTCAGATTTGGGGGTGTTGAGAATTTGGGAGGGGCGTTGCCTCGTGGGCCCTGCACTAGTTACGACCCTGAGAGTCACTGGAAAAGGCAATAATGTTAGGAAAAGTTGAAGACAGCAGGAAAAGAGGAAGACCCAATCTGAGAAGGATTGACTCAATTGAGGAAGGCACACGACCCTCAGTTTGCAAGACTTGAGCAAGGCTGTGAACGATAGGATGGTTTGGAGGTCATTAATTCATAGGGTCCCCATAGGTCAGAAGCGACTTGATGGCACTGAACACACACACACAAGAGTAGTTTAAGAGATGTGTATCCATGCAGAGTTTGGACTTGTAATGAATCAAGCATTGATAGCTTCACCCAATTTTCCACATGGGCTGACATGTCCATTTCCAAGTATAAATCCTTGATTTCACACCAGAGCAAATCTAGAGAATTTGGTAAAATTTTGGAATTAAGGATTGCTCAAAGACTTATATTTCAGGTTCTCCTGAGACTAAAGAGTCACTAGCCAGTTTGGTGTAGTGGTTAAGTGCGCGGACTCTAATCTGGGAGAACCGGGTTTGATTCCCCACTCCTCCACTTGCACCTGGCTGGATGACCTTGGGCAAGCCGTACTTCTGGTAAGAGCTGTTCTTGAAAAAGAGCAGTTTCTGTCAAGAGCTCTCTCAGCCCCACCTACTTCACAGGGTGTCTGTTGTGGAGAGGGGAAGGGAAAGGAGTTTGTAAGCCGCTCTGAGACACCTTTGGGTAGTGAAGGGCGGGGTATAAATCCAATCTCTTCTTCTTCTTCATTATCTTGTGGCATTGCAAAGGCTCTGACAGCTGAGTTGCCTAACCATGAAAATCATATGGTGGCATTCTTTAAGGGCTATACCACTTGAAACCACATGATTTGAATACTGCTGCATATAAAAATTCCCTGTACGTAATCTTCCTCATATAAGTATGTGAAGGAGATGGCTAGGCATAGCGTTTTGTGTGTTTTTTAATATTAGAGAGCATTCAGAGACTCCTTCCTCCCCACCTACTTTCTGAAATGGTACAGCCCATCAAATGCTGAACCATATAAGACTCCTGAGCTGCTTCATTGTAGACCCAAACTCTGTCACCATTTGCTTAATCTACAGTTCAATGAGAATTGAAAATTGGTCCAGAACCAAACAGATTGTGGACTGTTTCCTAATGGGCTGAATCTAGTGAATACTCAAGCAAGTGCTTTGCCTCCATCTGTTGTGGAGACTGGTGTCAAGTGCTAGATGTTCCTCTTCTGCCTAGGTTTGCACTTGCTTAAGGCAATAAAAATAAAAGAGGGGATAAGAATGAATGTTCTGTGATCCATCTGAAAGAGGAAAGACCTCTAGGTCAGGATGTATTTCACTCATACTTCTGCTTTCCAGTTCCCATGTATGGGCAATAAAGTCCCTCTTTAATTTTTGAGCATGAAAATAAAAGTAATAGAGCAACACAGAAATTTCTTTTATTCAGGGAGCTCACTAATAATAAGATTCAGGCTTTAGAGCTATATTTGGCACACAATCCATTGCCCTTTCTTCCTCAGTTTGTAGAGGATAATGGATAGGAAGGCTTTCTGCTTGATCAGTCACTGTTCCCTAATTTATTGCAGTAACTGCTCTAATACCTGTTCAGTTAACAGTTGTACGATAAGGGATGAGTTAAAACTCATTACGGTTGGCTGGAACTTGGCACTTTTCTGCTGGTATATCTCACGGTGTTGGATAGCTGTAGAAACTTTGCAAATAGATCCCTGGACTTTCCAAACAATATCTGTACATTTTCCCACAAACTTTTCTTCTTCTCACTAGCTTGAAATGGGTGGCCGGTAAGGTCAATGGATAGCAGCAAATTAGCATGTAAATGCAAGAGTTAACAAAAAGATGTGAGGATGAAGTAAGAGTCTTGGTACTGCTGGACTCTAGCTTCGTTTTCGCATCTTTTTGTTAACTCTTGCCTTTAGGTGTTAATTTGCTGCTATCCATTGACCTTACCGGCCACCCATTTCAATTTCAGCTCTGCATATGCATCTTGGCTCTGAGTGGCCCCTCCTAAAGGCTGCCCC